ATATATCTATATATAATGAACAGTCACATATGGGACCTGGAAAGTATGATGGTATATTAATCTATTATTCACTTTTCAGCTTTAAGTTAGGCCCTGAGCCTGTTAAAAGAAGTGCTTGAGTGTGTCAGTGTCTGTAAATACTAGTCACTTTAAGAGTCCTAGGAAACACTTGGAAACTATACTGATTAGTGTACAGAAGAACCTCTATAGAACAGAACACACCGAGCCCCAGTGACTATAGAGTAGGGTTCTATAAATGCTCAAGGGTCATTCCACATCTGGGGTCAGCGCAGGACTGAAGCCCTAGTGCTACCTCTGTGATTTTCACATTACATGTATTCATTCTTCATTCATGGAGCAACAAGGAAGATCCTGATATCCCATAAGCTAATATTACCTTACAACCAGTTGCTGACACAGAACTTTAAAAAATTGCCTTCAAGTTTAATATTCATTTCTAATTAATATTCATTTAGCCTTGATCCTCCATTGTTCTGGATATTTACCTCAGTAGACAAGGAGTGCAAACTGGATCTACATGCCACAAAACTACAATGGGAGCATTTGCAGTGATGTTAATAACTGCATGGTAACCGAGAATCAGGCTGGATTTAATTTATATACAAATGCAGACTACCAGAGTGAGGATACCCCTAGCCTTTTCCTCTGAATTTAACATGTGGAGAAACAGTCCCAGTGTCTACAAAGCCCACAAATTTAGTGATACATTTATTCTTTTAAAAACTATGAAATATTTTATTCATATGGGTTGCCCATATAGCTATGAGAATATTGAAACACCATAGCTGAACATGAACAAAAATCATTTTGGGTCAATCTGAAACATACTGTTCATCCAAATTTGAAATGGTTTAGATTTGGAATCATTTAATCATTTTTTTAAATCTCCATGCATTAAAATATAGTCAGTTCCACCCTTCCAACTGTTCTATGGGAACAGTTTTGAAATGAAAAGCTTCATTCTCCCCTCCTTCCCCCCACCCCCCAACCAAAATTATCATTTCCCCAAACTGCATTTTTTGGTAAATTTATTACTGTCAATTAAAAAAAAGATCACTTAGCTCTGGGTACAAATAAATTAATGGAAATATATATGACCATGATTGCCTTATGTTTTTATGCGCCTAAGTCCCTATGAAAGTGAAAGATATAGATTTGCTGTCTGAGGATTTACCTGTATTACATCTATTAATGCTAAAGACCATTGCATGTAAAATAGTCAGAATTTGCAAGGCCAGAATCAAACCTGGAGCAATTCCATTGTATTCTAAACTGAAACATCTCCTTTTCAGCTGCATAAAACAGACTTTTTACTACTCAAAATGTGAGAGCAAGCATGCACTAATGTGAGATGGAATGCTTTCAAAACACAATTCCCTCCCCAACCTCACAACCCAAACCTCTTGTTGAAGATGTTGAATTGTTAAAAAAATGATTGACGTAGTTTTTACTGTACAATTATAGTAACAGAAAAAGTCTCTGTGTTTGTTTTCTTGTTTAACATGGAAGGGCCTGGTTTCAGGGTTCGTACTTTCCTGAAACACTAAACTACAGCACAAATATTTAGTGTGGGGAAAGGTGCCACATTCCGTACATTTCTTTAAGGGGTCTGAGCCTTTTAGATGCTATGAATTAATCCCCAGCAGACATGTGCTATTTCCACACTTGCATGATCATAAAATTGTTTTTTTGGCATTTAATACAAAACCTTTAAAGGCAGGTCCTTAATGTAAATCAGTGAGGTACTCTACTTGTTCAAGAGGAACAAAATAGCCATGTCAATTTTATTCATTTAATTTTACTGTACTACTTTTTCTATGAAAAATAAAGGACATAGTTGCTGTGGGAAAACCAAAATGTTCACTGCTTGCTAGGCATTTGTACACCTTCCATATTCAGGGCTTTGGTGCCCCAAAATAACATCTATGCAAATGTAAAACACTGTTAACAGGGAAATGTTGTGGCCACAGAAGTGTCCTCTGCTCTTAATTCTTCCTTGAATATAAGACTTAATTCCCCAATATTCCTTATATGAATTGCACAATACAAATAAACCAACAATGTTAGGAAACTGGAATGCAGATGTTGGGTGATGCTTCTCAGACAAAGGTCCCATATGACCTTTGCTTTGCCTCCTTCAAATGCCAGTAATATGGTACTTTATTTAGGGGCTTTAGATGTAGTTGACTTTATGGACTTGAGTACAATATAGAGAAGTTATTTTAGCACAACCTCTTTAATTCGGCTCAGACATGTAGCCACCTGAAGAGGCAGCCTGTGTGGCATGTCTTTCAGTAGCTGTTAATTTCAGGATCAGTAACACCTCACACAACTCTGCAAATCTTCTTGAATTGGCTGAATAAGAGTTATGATTTTGTGCTTAGAAAGAAAACAACATTGTTTTTTGAAAAGCAAAAGAAAGTACTCTGATGTGTTCCCAGCCCCTCTTGGCATCCCTGTGTGGGCAGAGATAAGGTTGGGTAGTTGCCTTATGTGGGAAGTGTCATCCCACACTGCATTTCTATGGGGTGGTGCAGTTTTCTCCTTTTTGCATTGGAAAGAATTAGTCAGGCTCAGTGCAATTATTTTAAATGACAATAAGTGATTGAACACAGAGTCCTTTAGTCTGTCAGCAGGCTACCGGCAGTGTGGAAGATGTACTTTGAGAACACATATAATTGCAGACAACTAGGAATTATTCTTCCCACCCACGCATGATTATTTTTGTAATGCTGAAAGGCCTTCCCTGGCACATTGAATCTCAACATGTATGTAGCACAGAACATCCAGGGACAGTTTCTTATACTGCAGTGTCTTGTAAAACTAGTAGCAACACGTTACTGTTTTCCTTAGCAATTCAAGTCATGCAGATCCTTTTTAACTATACAATGACTGCTGGATGCCTTTTTTATCCTAGGGCTGAGGAAAAAATGCTTCAATGGATAGCCTGCAGAAATTCATTCTGGTCTCTTTCACTCTCTTTGTTTCACTAACAGGTAGGACACTCTTATAATCCAAGAAATTACTCATAATGGATACAGTGTATAGCTCGAATTCACCTCACCTCACCTCCTCCCCCCCACCCCCCCAATGCCAGATCTGGACCGCAGGACAACTTGCTGCCCAGATCCAGATGCAGTTGTGAGTAAATGGTGGTGTGTGTAGCAACAGCAGTGCTGTGGGTTAATACAGCTCTCCCTCCCCCTGCTCCCCACCTGCTGCTAACAGATGTGGCCAATGGGGGGGTCTATACTCCAGATTTCCTTTGCAGGCTCTGTCCCTGGTTGTCCAACCCCTTTACCAGCTATGCTGGCTGTTAGCTTGACACCGTTTTTATAGAATCATTTTAAAGCATTGATAATGACCCCTACAGACCTCTTTAGATTTCTCAACTTTTTAAAAGTTCTGGGAATGGCTTAGTTTATATTTCAAGCCTGACAATACATCATTATTTTGTACCATTAAGGGGTTAGTACCAATTAGGGTAAGAAGAGATGTGGGGACTATAACATCTCTCCTTTAAAAGAAGAAAGTATCCTTTCCTATTCCCTTCCCTGAGCTTGGAACTCCCCTCCTTCCTCCCTTTTTGCCGCTTGGTGAAAAAACACATCATGAAAGAAAATCTCAGTGGAAAGCAGCAGGAGATGTTATAATTGTCTGGGATATTCCTGAGGTTTTTTCCAGTAAGTGGAGCAATACTGGGTGCTGGTCAGAGAATTGTTCAAGCTGGTTAACTCCTAGCTATCTCAATCTCTTTTGTCTATGGCTAGGTAAAGACAGTCAAAAAGCCCAAGGCTGCGTTGATTCAGTTTTTGCAGGTTAGTCTAAGATGCAGAGATTAAATTGAAACAGAAGTGAGCAGACATTTACCTTTGATTCAGGATATGCAGCCACTTGCCTGCAATGGCTCAGGCCAGAAGCTAGGGTGATGCTAGAGCAGACTCTCTGGCTGTGTGTTCACTTCTACTTCCTGCTGCCCCCAAGGTCTGTGGGGTCAGAATTACAGTGGCAGGACTCTGCTGGGTTGCTTATCAGTGATCACTGCCTTTTCCTGCTTGCAGATGCCTTTGGGATTTGTAGTCTACAGTTGCAGCCAGCAGTAAATTGAGTGGGGGAAGGGGTGTTTAAGCTGCCTGAGGGCAGCCCTCCCGTCCCCCTCTAGACTGAGCTGCATCCCTAGCTGGGCTTGTCTTCCCCCCTTCCCTTGTTAGCCTGCCGTCACTGCTTCAGCTAGGGAGCAGAACGTGAGGCCAGCCCTGCTCTCTGGAGCAGACATCATTGCCCAGCCCAGGGCTGGAAAACATGCTGAGATGCTGGGGGACTGTGATTTAACTTGAACCAGGAAGGGGTCTGGGACAGAAGTATCATAAACCGGTTTGACCCAAATCAGTTAAGTCTGATACTATATTTAACCAAGCTTATCTTAAACCAGTTTCAGCCATTTTGAAACTGGTTTATGTGTACTGAGCTTCTGTTTTGTTACAGGTTTAAACCAGTTTCTGATCACTTAAACTGGTTTATGTGTAACTTATGTCCCTAGCCATTAGGTTTATCTATCTCCCCATTGGTTTCATCTAAGGGGAAGGTGTAGAGGATACTGTTTCAAACATACCTTCCTGTTTAGAGAAAATGGGTGACACTGCAACTTTCTTTTCCTGTCCTGGCCTCAGTCTGGGGTAAGTAGCATTGCCTTGCTAGTTCTCTCTGCCCATCTGGCTCTTCATACTGAGGAATAAGTTGAAAGGAAGAGGGCAGTGCAAAGGCTGATCGTTTATGCAACTCCATAGCCAAGACTGTAAGATTCAGGGAGTAGGAGATGGAGCATGACTTTGTATTCTTATAGGGCACTCCTCTGGGAGGGAGGAGTCATAAGTTCTGGTCCCTGCTTCTTGAGGTTATTTCTATTTTTCGTCCGATGATTCTCCAATGTAAAATGCATACATTATTGAGGGGAGCAAGGTCCAGAACCAAGGTTTTACTCTTCCAGCTGAGCACTCTGAATTGCTGGCCTATAAAGTCATGTTCCCACTTGCTTGTTATGCTTGTGCCCCCATGACACTTGTATTCTTGTTTGCCCAGTGGCTCAGCTCTAGCTGATTATATTTAATGGGAAAGGAGCATTCTTGGAAAGTAGGAGGTTTGAAACCCATCAGAGTGAGGCAAATATAGAATCCAGTTCTCCCATTTCCTGGGTGTGTGCTTTAACTACTCAACTATCAGGCAAACAGTAGGTATACAACTATGTTTTTTAATGATGGTGGCTGCTGTGCTTTTGTGTTGACTGCTGTGTTGTCAGTGTGTGTTAAGTGGGCCTGGAGCATGCTTACCAGACTGCGCCTCTGAGGTAGGGCTCAAGCATTGCCCCACCTCTGTTTTAGATCACAGTAGAAGAGCTTAGGTGGGGCTGAGGTGTCCAGTTGCTCAGAACAGGACAGTTGTTTGGAGGTCTGAGTTGGGGTATGTAGGGGTTTTTTCAGCTGTGGATATTTTCAGTCCAACAAGTAGGAACTGACCCAGCTACCTTAGAAAAATAGATTTCAATGACATAACTGGTGCTGAACCAGAGACTTCATGGAAACTGGTTTTTAAGTCATCCAAATAAGCCAGTTGAAATGGCACAGTCATTGACAGTAGTCTGACTTTTGACAACATCCCAGCAACTTCTATATTTTTTTCAATAGTTTACTTGCCTAGTTGGCTCTCTCACAATTTGTCCTATGTCTTTTTTTCTGCTCTTGCTGTTTTGCAGCACCCATGCTCACCTGGGTGTGTTCTTATTTTGGAGCAAGAGGCTTTTTGGCAGTCATAATACGCATTATAAGAAGTTCTGAACGAGCATCATTTCTGTATTTCATATATATTTGTCAGCTATACAGGGCTGAAGACTACAGCTGGGACAGACGAGGGAGTTTATTGGAGATGGCATCAGCTAAAGCAAGGGTAGGATGACTGAGAAAAGGAATAAAAAGCCAAGTGTGAGAATAGGGTAGAAGAGAGAGACTGTGAGTGTAGGGGTGAGAGACTGTATGGGGATATGTGGGAGAGCAGGGCAAGTGGTGGATAAGACTATTACATTTTTGACAAAATGAAAAATATATGAAAACTTTTCATTTCCATGTTTTTCAGTTTTTAAATATCTTTTTTATAATAAAGCTATGTTTTTACAGGTTTTTGTAACCAACACTTAATACATTGTGGTTAAAAAAATCCCAATAGTTCTTTGTTTTCCTGACATAAACCTGAAATGTTTTGAATAAACATGATGTTAAAAACAAATCAAAACAAAATTCATCAAATGTCATTTCCCAACTTGTAGTCATGGTGATTGGGTGCAAAGAGAGGGAGAGTGAAGGAGAGAGGAAGATTTATATGTGGAAGATGGATGTACAAAGGGAAAAAATAGAAAGTGAAAAAAAGAAAGAAAACTTGTAAAGGAAAGTAAAGAAAACTAAACTGAAAACAAAGGAAGTAGGGCAGAGACTAGACACAGAAATTGAAGTAAAAGATAAAAAGCAGGGAAGGTGAGCAATAGATACAAGAAATAAAAATGGGATTGGAGGACTTCTAAAAAAATATATCTTGGGGTTACAAAAAGAAAGTGAGGACAGGATAAATTATTTTATCCAATCCTATCCTTCATTGGAATACCTCTTATTTTGCCATTTACAGAATGGGAGATACATAGTTAGGTGAGGAGAGGGTGGAGGGATAAATGTGTACCTTTTTCACAATCCACTTCCAAAACTCTCTGGCCAGAGAAGGAGCAGATCAGGAAGGGAAAACACCAGTGTTGGGGGGTTGTTCTGTAGGGCTAGGGACCAACATTACACATAAACCAGTTTAAGTGATCAGAAACTGGTTTAAACCTGTAACAGAACAGGCATTCAGTGCCCATGAACCAGTTTCAAAATGGTTGAAACTGGTTTGAGATAAACTTGTTGAATGTAGTATAAGATGTAACTAATTAAGGTCAAACTGGTTTATGTAATGTCTGTCCCAGACCCCTTCCTGGTTTAAGTTAAACCAGACTCCTCTAGCATCCTGGCATGTTCTCTGAGCTAGGCTCTCTGCTCCAGCCCAGCCAGGCTGGTCCCACCCCTCTGCTTCCCAGCCAGAGCAGGGACAGGCAGAGGCAGGGGTCTAGCCAGAGAGGGATTTAATTCCCCCCTCCCTGTGTCACTGGCAGGGACCTGAACCAGGTCTGCCAGGTGCTCCCCCCTTCCTGCTGCAGCAGCAGGGCACCATGGCTCCTGAACGTGTGCACGCCAAAGAGGAGGGTTAGTCTCCCCTCTACCTGCACTGGCAACTGGATCTGCTTGCCACTGCACTCACTTGCTGTGGGGGAATAAGCCCCCTGCTGTTGCCTCCTCCAGATGCCGGAGGGAGGGGAAATAAACTTGTCCCTGCCTGCCCCTCAAGGGGCCCTGTGGGCCAATGTCTAGCCTTGCACCCACCCCGCCACTGAAGCAGGAGAGGGCAGGGCCTTTGGGGGCAGCAGCTCCTGTCACAATGTCAAGGAGTGCCAAC